CATTTTATTTACATTTATTTATTTATTTAAATAAGTAAAATAAAAATGTTGACTGTCAACTGGAATTTCAATATGTGTGAATATTTTTGTATTTATAGTATGTATTATATTATTCATTTATTGATTTTCACACCCATCCCATCTGAAGAAACCCAACTTGCTCATGATAGAAAAAACTTCTTTATTAATCGATGATTTCTATTAGAGTACAACAATTGCATTAGCATAGAAGTCGTCGATAACGATCTTAGCTTAAAACTAATTAGATTTTCTTTAAGTGTGTATGTGTGTGTGTGTATGCCCTGTACAGTGGGGCAATTTTGGCACAGTGTTATACAATTGTCTATGAGAGCTGAACGTCCTCCAGTTGGCGCAGTTTCTCGTCGGAGACGACCTGGGCCTCCACAACCTCTCGCCGGAAGACGGTCTTGTAGGCGACGGCAGTGATGGCAGCACCGCTCAGCGGTGCCAGCCAGTAGATCCAGTGCTTGAGGAAGTTGCCGTTCCAGAGCGCCGGCGCAAAAGATCTGGCTGGATTCATGCTGGCGCCAGTGAAGGGTCCCTGCAAGCGAAACTCAGGAATATTAACAACAAATTTCCTCTCTCAGATTTGGGCGACATCAACTTACCGCGGCACAGGCCAAACAGGCAATGGCCAGGCCAAAGCGAATGGCCACCGAATCGTGGTGCTTGGCATTGCGAGGATCCCAGACGCCGCAGCAGACAATAACTAGAATGCCGGTGGCAACGAACTCAATGCCGAAGGCCTGCAGATTGTTGACCTCGGAGTGGGGCAGGGTCACGCACAGGCCGTTGGGCACATCCAGCGTGGATGGGGGCAGCAGGGCCATCAGCAGACCGTAGCCAATGAAGCCGCCCAGCATCTGCCCGACAAAGTAGACGAAGGCCATGGGCAGCGTGACCAGGTCATAGATGTAGGCCGCCACCGTGACCGAGGGATTCAGATGGGCGCCCGACACACAGCCAAAGCATTGAATGGCAATGAGCACAGCGAAGCCGAAGTTCAGAATGATCTGCAAATGATTGTTGGGAAAGAGATCTGTTTTCACGCAGCCCATGCAGCCGAGGAACACCAGAATGGCTGTGCCCATCAGCTCGGCCAGGAAGCAGCTGATTTTATCCAAAGTCGATGCCTTCATTTTGAATACCTTCAAACAACTGAAATGCGAAACGTTTACCATTTAATTAGCCAACTCGACGGGTTTGTTTATTATTTAATTTTTTTTTTTTTTCGATTTGTAATCGAACTGCCATTAGCAGGCAAACAGTCGACGGCGCCTACACAAAATCAAATCAACTTCATCAATCATGCTCGAGCATTAGCCACAGGCCATCCATGCCTAAGCCTTTCAATTAAATTTGATCTTATGCACACTCACAAACACACACACACATGCACTACTGTACTTCTGCCTCTATTATAGAATGAAAGCTTTGCTTATTGTTGCATTTGCTGTTTGAGCTGCTGCAATTGATTTTTATGTTGCCTAGACGCAATATTCGATGTTACTGTTGCGAATTTGCTTGTTGCAGCATTGATTTTTCCAACTATTCTCTGAGACACCAGCTGGCCTAAACATATGTCTGCCAGTTGAACTACTCAGCTGCCATATGGCTAAACCTGCTCAAAAATATCCTAGGGGAGAGACTGGCAAATGTTGTAGGGCGTATAGAAAATATAGACAACTGATAAAGTGAAACTAGATTCTTAAGCTGTGCTATCTAAGCAAGCGTTAAGCTAGTTAGAGCTCTAGGCTTTGATATTATCTTAGTTTTGGCTAGAGAAATTGCTATATAATTGGAAAAAGAAGAAAACTATTGAAGCCAGATATTATAACTATATGTTAGTTATTTAATATAAATTTTTCTATTTTTTTTTTAATTTTTATTATT